GGTCTATCATGTGAGAACCACATATATAACCCAAGAAGACAGCTCTTTGATATTTTTAACTGTGGCATTAAATATAATGGTACTGTAATTATTTCTTACTTTGTGGCAAAAATTACTAGGAAGAGTTTATTTACTGAGCCTATGGAAGTTCACCATTGTTTTTCTTCAATAGAAACCATTCCCGTGCCCCCCACCCATCCCATGACTTACTTTCCTTTGAGGGGAGGGTATTTTTTTCTTCAGTATTAGTTTTTTTCAGTTTTGACCTGTCAAACTTCTCCACTTCGGACAAGTCTGGCTTATCGCTCATCTTGACTGAAAGAAAGACTGAAAAAAAAATTGAGAACTTAACCGGCAGAACTATTGTCATATTAAGGGATCACAGCCAAAAATTCTCACATTTACTGTCAATAAGCATTTTACTTGCAGGTTTTCAACAACGACAACAACAAAAAACAGCACACGTCTTAAAAAAAAGTCATGTGTTTATTAGAATATTTTGAACTCCACATCATTACCCCATTTCTGATAGGCAGTCCATGTCATTGGATCCATGTCTGGGATACACTAGAAACCGAGATGCTCTAAAACCCAGTCAGTGTGTCCGACTCTTAAAATCACAGGAAAGGTCAAATGGAGGCGATAGAAGCACAAGACTAGCTAACGATTTTCGAGACTGGAGATAGCATTATTTAAGCACCTTCACTTTGTATTCGACCACTCTGGGGGGCATTTTTCTTGGGGAGCAGCACACACAAAAAATGGTAGCGTAAGTTGGACTAGTTCTCAACATTTTATCTGGCCCCAAACAGCAGATTAAGGAGCTACAATAAGAGAGGGAGAGATTTAATCCAGTCGTAAGTAATATCACGTCTCATAAGAGCTCCTGGTGGCACTGGTTTGTAAACGTTGTGAGAAGATACAGGCAATTAGGATCAAACCAGGGACTTCGGCAGAATGGGATAAACCAAAGGGAGTTGATTTTTATTTCACCACGTGTCCTCTGCAATGGGAGAGGCTAGGAGATGAGGTGCCCTGTGACCATTCCGGGTTTGTCGCGAAGAGACAATAGGAGACTCTAGAGACCGGGAAGCAGAACTCTCAAGCGTGTGTCTGACCCCGGCCTGGTGGGGGCAGTGCACGTCCAGTGGCCAGAGTAGAATGGCGAGGCCCGAAGTAGCCAGAAGTCCCGAATATGCCTCCCTTCCGTGGAGGTCACCCTGAGTCCCGCCCTTGACCAGCGATCCGACGCCAATCTCCAGAGGTGGGGAAACGAATAAATAATAGGGCTGGGCGCACAGGCCGGTTTGTTGGCAGCAGTTTGCTTAGACGTTTTTAAATAACTACCATCGTCGGCGGGCGCCCAGCCTCACCTGTCCGCCACGGGCGGGGAGAGGGCGAAGGGCCAGCCCCCGAGGGCCCATTCCGGACGGTGCCCAAACTCCTCTTCTTCGAAGCCTCGGACCCGCAGCCACAGCGGACTGGCCGCTCTGGGGGCCGCCCCCTCGGGTCGTCCGGCCCAACTCGGGAGGATTCGGCATCGCGCGAAGGGGGCGGCGCCGTGGAAGACAAAGGCGCGCGCGGACTCGCCAGGAGGTGCAGATCCAAAACGCCAGTCCCAACCCGGCCTCCCCAGGTCCCGAAGGCCAGACAGCCCCCGCCCCGCGTCCGCCGCGCCCTCCTGCCTCCATTCCTCTGGCTCCCGCGGAACCGCACGTCCCCACCCGAAGGCTTGAGGAAGTCCGGGGAAAAGCAGACAGGGAAGTCGGACCGCTTCGCACGCCGGCCAAGATTAGCCTTTCCGCGCAGGACCCTGCAGTATTAAACCGCGGAGCAGACCCCGCCCGTGACCCCGCCCGTGACCCCGCCCCAGCCCTCTCCGATCCGCGGAGGGATCCCACGCCCGCTTCCTTGCCCCTCCCTCCGCTTTAGCTTTGCAGGCCCGAGTCTGCCTCCCCTCTACTCAGGACCTCCACCCCTACAACGGGCTTTTGATGGCGTTATACCCGACCCGCCTCCCCAGACCCGGCCCAAGCCCTCTCTGATTCGCCCAGGGATGGATCGCCGTCAAGCCTCCCCTGCATCTCCTGCTCCTTTCTTCAGGACGCTCCCCTTACCTTTTTCCCAAGTATACGCACTCCTCCACGATAACAGGGGCCTCTACAATAAGCAGACACTTCTTGCCCAGTTAGCTTTGAACGTCCGGAACTCCGAGATCCAAGCCGAAGGAGCCCTAGTCAGGCTCTTGGCTTTTTACAGCCATAGGAGCCTGAGGATGCTACGACGACCAAACAGTTGGTTTGGAAGTGATGCTTAGTGTTGTTTTCCCCAATCCTTGGACAGGTCATGGAGGAGGGGTGGTCATGAAGAGGGTAGGTGGTACAGGATCGTTCAGCCCCAGTGCGGGACATTTCTGTGACAGTGATGCTCTCCTATGTAGAAGTCACATTTTCCATTTTCTCGCCCACTGAAAATGGTGGTAGTCAGCTTAGGGTAATCAGAGGACAATCTACTGAGGCTATTCATCTTTACATCCCGATCTCTAGCACTTTGCTTGGCCCACAGGAGACACTGGATAAATACCTGTCTGTCGAGTGAAGTAATAAATCCATGATAGAGCAGAATTTTGGGACAGCAGCACCACCCAGTGTCTATGTTAGGGGAGAAAAGTGAGGATCCAGTAGTTACCTGAAAGGACTAAATCCTCAAGGTCATTTTCTGGATACTCTCCCGAAACCTCAGAGCATTAAGGTAAAATTGAGATAGGACTATGTCTCTAGTTTGCACCCCATGTTTTCCGTATGGCTCGTGTATGGCGGTAGAGTGCTACATAGATCAAGAATCACTCTCTCCACGGGATTTCTCAAGCCTTCGCCACCTCTCTCCATTCTCTTTTCTATGCTCTTGTAGCACATTGTGTTAATTTGAGAGTTGTGTATGTGTGTTGGAGAAACTGTTTTTAAATGTCATTAATTTATTTTATTTAACTCATTAGACAAAATGTACTAGTATTTAAACAGATTATCAATATGAAAATTATAACATATTTGCATTCTTTTCTACTAAGTCTTTGAAAGTTGTCGTGCATTTGACACCACGCATGTCAATTTGGACTAGTCACATTTGAAGTGCTGAATACCCGAATGTAGCTACTGACTACCTTGCAGGACTGGGTAGGTTTATACTTTACTATTTAATCAAATTATAAATGCCTGGCGTACCCTCATCAAATCTACTTTCTATGGACCAAATTATTGCTGCAATTTAGGAAACAGCTCAGCACTTTGGCAACATTTACATTTCCTAGGTCATTACCACCTGCTTTTAATAAGTATCAGTCTAAATGGAAACTTTATAAGCATAAGCACCCTCTATCTTGATGTGTAGGAAAACATTTTTGTTGGAGAAACTTTTAAAAGAGAAAGGCACACTCATTCGACGAATAGTATCCATTAAGTACCTATAATGTCCCGGGCATTAAATTTAATAAACGCCAGGGTTTCCACCACCCAGGTTTGAATGTTGCTGACATTTGGATATATTTCCTTTTCCTTTTTTCTTTTTCTTTCTTTCTTTTTTCTTTTTT